CATTGTGGTAGACCCACCCCTCGACAGGGAGCCGCAGCAGAGGGATGAAAGAGCCACATGCGGCTCCGGAGCCGCAGGTTGCTGACCCCTGGTCTAGAGGGTTCTTCTTATTGGGCTATTACATACTTAAATTGAGATGAACTTTTTGTTACGCTTTGTGCAACGCCTTCGCATGCACCACTGGGGGTATGAGGTAATACCCCGTGGGGAGCATGCTGTTTTCTCCTTCTCACATAACAGTACATGATGTCGACCAATTCCGTACGCTCCTTGAATTACATGGAGAGCATACGCCTGGCATTGAATGCTGACTAAACCGTTACAAAAGACATTTCCTTCTGGAAGGGGATTGCGCATCTCCCAGCACAATACTCACCTCCGCAGTTGTGATCCTATCCGCATATCCGTAGAGTGTTACAGGGAGCATGAAAACCATAAAAAACAGAAGAAAACAGACAATACAGTTTGGTTTTCCATTGCAGAATTTCTCATTCTAGAACTAAATTCACTAAACCCCTTCAGCAATGATTGTCCTCATTAGTAGAGTCCTGTACGGTGTTAGCAACTGGATGAAGCAAGAAACAGAGTTATAATGTTATTTTTTATTGGTTGAGCGGCTTAAAATTGCAAACTTTCACCCAGCAGAAGTTCCTACTTCAGACATAGTGAGGAGGAGAAAGCTGTCCCAAAAGCATTCGGTTGATGCAGTACGACCTATTCTGACTTCAGAATAATCAAATCTATATATGAACTCAAACTTTGCACTCATTGTAAAAATGTGAAAAAAAAAAGAAATCTAAAGAAAAGTCATAATTGCCTTTTAAATAAATATAAAACAGAAACAATTAAAATACTTTAAAACATTGTATTAAAAAGTAATTTTGGGGAAATGAGAGGCACTAATAGACTTGCTATAGTAATGATGTAATCGCTTTGTTTTTGTAGGGGAGAATGAGATACGGTGTTTATAAAGCTTCACATTAGTGTCTCTGCAGGTTGTTATTTTCAGATAATTCTCTAATTTCCCTGCGGAAACAATACCGAGAGGTAAAATCAGCAGGGGAGAACGGTCTGCGCCTGGAGGATTGTTCTGTAATTATGTACACAAATTCTAAATGTTATTATGTTACATACAAAATAGTATACTAGTTACGTAGCCAATTGCACATAAACTCACATAATGTGAACAGTATGATTCTGCAATTTGCATTCTGAGTGTTAGAGCCCTAAGTGGGTGCTTATTTCTTAACCGGGCAGCCAAATGAATGGATGACGGATGTGAAATTCATGTTAAGGTTAAAAAATGCTGTTAACCTACTCAGTGAATCTGCTGGCTGGAGCTCACCATTTTTCTAAAAGAAAATGTCATCATGGGGGACATTTAAAAAAAAAAATGTAACGTCCTCAGCTTAAAGGAGAACTATGAGATGAGTGATTTCCACTCACCTCATAGTTCTAGCCGACCTGTGACAATGAGACTGTCACAGGTCGGCTCAGTAGATCGGGAGGTGAGCGAACACATACCGGCGCTAACTCACTTCTCGATCCTGTGCCGGCAGAGAGCCGTGACAGGGGAGGGACTGGATTCCCACCCTCCCCGCTCCGATCCGCCAGCACTGACTGGCGGAACGGACGGGGGAGGGAGGGGTACAGCTGGCTCTGCCTCTAGATAGGCAGAGCCAGCTGTCACTCACGCAGCTGGGTGGATCCAGACATAATTATCGGGATCCGTTCCGGCTATAGCGTCTCAGTATATAGTGAGCTGTAGCTAGCGGTATACTGAGCCTAGGGTGACGTGAGGATGCTAGTTTGTGTCCTCCCGTTACACTAAGGAGAACTATGGGGAAGAGCCCTGACCCCATACTTCTCCTTTAACTATAAGATTCCAAGGTTCCAGCAGCGGCCACAAATGTACCTGTAGGTCTCAGTGCAGATCTCACAACAGGCTGCAATAGCTTCCTCTTTCCTCTCTTGTTATTTTTTGGCCCCCTATGAACATGAGCAAGGTTTTCTTCTCAGCTATGAGCTTATTGATTCTGCATTATGAGATATATATATATATACATTAATGGGGACCTTCATTCAATCTCCTGACCTAACCTCCTTGGTTTCACCCCTCCACAATTCGAAAAGCCCTTTTCTTGGTCGAGGGGCTGCTTATATTTTAATTTTTTGTTTTATTTTGGCCCTGACCCCACTGCCATTCGTGCCTGGCTGAGACTGATGTACCCCTGCTCCTGCAGCCTCTTGGGATATCTACATCACATATCTCAGAAGGCTGCAGTAGCTGGGAAAAAGAGCACCTGGAGGGTGGACAGCCAGCTTCCGATTACCTAATGGAGGAAGACGGTGGTGCAGGAACTGGACTGTCACAGCAGTGCAGCAGCTCCCAGCAGGATAATGCTGGATTCACTGGGCAGGCCAGTGTCACAGGTAAGAGGGGACAAGAAAAAAAGGATGGAGTTCCTCTTTAAACACTCTGAGTCCTTTGAAATTGAGCATTTGGTCCAGACCCTCTCATTCTCACCCTATGAACAATCAGCGACATCTTTACTGCGGGGGAAAAGGTTAGCTGTCATGGGTCCAGTCATTGTTGTGAGGCCCGAAGCAGCTGCCCCTTGAGCCCGGAAAAGATACACACGTCACACTGTTCTGTTCACTATGCGATCAGCATTGCATAGTGTTGCGCCACCCCTGCTGTATGCCGCGTAGTATGACCGAGTGATGTCTCACGTCTCATGCGGGGTCACGTCTCCCTCCTATCTGCTCTTCAGGGAGGAGGACGTCGCGCGAGGGCAGCTTCTGTCTTGTCACACATGCCAATCAGAAGGGTGAGATCTGACATGTGGACTGAGCTATCACTACACTACAGGGACAGAGGCAGGGGAAGCTGGCCTGGGCTGCTGGGGCATTGTGTGTCCAGTCCAGTCTTATTATTATGATGCCTGCTGGGTTTCCACTACACAACCAGGGCAAAGGCAGAGCAAAAAATAATTATAAACATACAAATATATAAATTCATTCACTGGGCCAACCATTTTGGGGAAAAAAAAAGAAATATATTGATTTAGTAGACTAGTGGTAGATTTCATGTTTCTGTTTATTGTGGGTATGTATGAAAAAAATAATAAACATAAATAAATAAATGCATGTGGAAGGAAAGCCATGCATTTAATAAGTGTTGTAGTACTGATGCCTGCTGAGCTACCACTACACCGCCAGGCCAGAGCCAGGCCGGAGGCAGAGCAAATCAATAATAAAAGCACAACATTAAAAAAAGCTTTTATTTTAATCTGTAAATAATCTTTAAATTGTTTTGTACAAGAATCCTACTTTTAATGACATTTTAAACATAACAAAATGTACACTTAATACACAACTCCACTGATATTTAAATAATACCCATCATCTCTTAATAGTAAAGTCTTTGCAACCAAGGCGCACCTTGACCTGTAAAATGGTTGTAAATTCATTGACAGAATAATTAATTTTATTGCATTTTGTCTATGTCTATTTTTTTTTTCTATGGTTGTCTTTACTCTGTTATCAAGCGTATACAATTTTTACATGGAAATTTGCAATGTTGAATCACTTTGTGGAAATAATACCCATCAGCTCTAAAAATAAAATATCAGCTCCCCCCTGCAATACTTACCTCCTCTCCTTCGCTGTGCCCTGCAGACTCACCTGCTCTGTGAAACAGAATCTGTCCTCTTCTGGGTTCATTGATGC